TCCAGCTCGATGGCGCTCATGTTGAGTTTTTGAGGGGAATCGCTAACCCACTTGGTATCAAGGTACGTGACCAAAATATGATTGTGCTTACTGTTTAGCTTCCTCATCTTTGGAGAAAACTGATGTGGTTTTTGACTCAGGTGAGTGATAAAATGGTCCCTAGTGAACTGGTTAAGCTGATAGAGATACTAAACCCTCAGAACAAGCCTGGAAGGATTACGGTGATAGTGAGAATGGGAGCTGAGAATATGCGGGTCAAGCTTCCTCATTTGATCAGAGCAGTACGTGGAGCCGGTCAGATTGTGACTTGGGTTAGTGATCCAATGCACGGAAACACTATCATGGCTCCAAGTGGGTTAAAGACTCGTTCTTTCGATGCAATAAGGGTACTAAAAATTCCTTCTTACTTCATCATCCTCACCCTAAATATGTATATAATCTTGCATATGATGATGATTCATGTGTATTTTGCTCATTGAATTATATCAGGCGGAGTTGAGAGCGTTCTTCGACGTGCATGATCAAGAAGGGAGCTTTCCTGGTGGGGTGCATCTAGAGATGACGGGTCAAAACGTGACGGAATGCGTTGGAGGGTCACGCACCATCACTTACAACGATCTAAGCTCACGCTACCACACTCACTGCGACCCGAGGCTCAATGCTTCTCAGTCTCTGGAGCTTGCCTTCATCATTGCAGAGCGTCTGCGAAAGAGAAGGCTCGGTTCCGGGAGTCTTCTGTCATCTCTTGGACTCTAGAGGATAAGATCATGATGTGTATAGAGAGGCTCTTTGTTACGTTTCAGTGATTGTGTACTTGGTAAAGTAAAACATTTGGTTTTTTTTTTTGTGTTTGGTTCTGCTTGTCTTTTACGTTTTTACTTGTTGATATTATATATGGTAAGTAACGTAACTAAATAGACCGGTAAATCAGTTTAATCATCTCTTACGTCAGGCTTGCAAAGAAAAATTCAATATTTGTAACAGTTTGACTAAATTACAACGAAAAGTCCGTCACTTTAGTTGTAAAATTTTGACGAAACTCATAAAGTTTAAACCTTTGACAAACCAAATTGGAAAACTGGTAAAGCGATTGAGTTTCACACCTAACCACCTCTCGTTTCGTTTAGAGAGAACACTTGAACTAAAACAAACACAGGCCTGAGCCGGAGAATAAGAAAAAGATAACGAGACTTTGAGAGATTGAGATTACTGTGTGGAGCCACTTCCATGGAGTCTACATTCTCCGCCACGGCGACAGCGATGGCCAGAACCGGTGGTCCTTCGTTGCCTCTCCTCACTATCTCTAAAGCTCTTAACCGCCACTTTTCTGGCTCAAGGCACCTCCATCCTCTGTTGCTAGCTCGCTCCTCCCCTGTCGCGCGCCGTCTTGTTGGATTTCACGCCAGCCCAATTACGTCGTCCGCGTTGAGAAGCTTGGGAGCTGCTGTTCTGCCTGTAATCCGACACCGTTTGCAGTGCTTGTCCAGCTCATCTCCTTCCTTCAGGAGTATCTCCAGTGGCGGCGGCGGCGGTGCAGGATTCGGCGGGTACAACGGTGGAGGTGGCGGAGGCGGCGGCGGAAGATCGGATAGTGGTGATTCCAAGTCTAAATTAGGTGTTGGAGCAGGTGATAGTGTCTCTCTTCCGTCGTCAGATATCATTATTCTCGATGTTGGAGTACGTTCTCTCTCTCTCTCTCTCTGTTTCAATTCTTGATGGTTTCCAATTCACTCCAATTCTGTTATTTTACCGATTTCGATGCTCTGCTCAATTGAAGGGGATGACATGTGGAGGTTGTTCTGCAAGTGTGAAGAAAATACTGGAAAGCCAAGTAAGCTAAGACCAAACTGGTGTCATGTGTTAAGGTTGTCCAAAAGTTTTGATTTTTAAAAAACTTTTCTTTGATGTATAGCCTCAAGTTGCTTCTGCTAGTGTTAATCTCACGACGGAGACAGCAATAGTGTGGCCTGTAGCGGAAGCTAAAAGTGTACCTGATTGGCAAAAGACTTTAGGCGAGACGCTTGCAAATCATCTCACCAATTGCGGCTTTCAGTCTACTCCTCGAGGTGAGACGGTGCAGCTTCTGTTAATACTCATTTGAATGGTTGATTCAGTATGTTTGATAGCTTATAGGGTTGTTTGTCTGGTTGATGTCTTTTCCCCAAACTCTGATTGATTTTGTTTGGAAATATGGTGCCTTAGATTTTAGTGTTTCAATAATGCTAATTGATTGGAAATGAAAATCACAAATCTCATCATCTTTTTGCGTATCCGGTGGATACTGATGGGGTAGGGGAAGTTCCTGAAGATATTGCTGGAGAGATTGCACCTTGAAAGTACTAGAGATTTCCCCTGCAGCAATCATTACCGGTATGGTATGTTCTTCTCGTGTTAATTGCCGATCTGAGTATATTGTGCTTTTTGGTTTTACGTCTACTAACTGACTACTTCTCCTTTAACAGATGATTGAGAGCAGCTGCTAGTTGGGGAAGGGATTGTAAACATAAATTTGTGGTTCCGATTATGAGTATATGTTGTCAGTCCTTTGTGATATATTGAAAAAATCTTAAGGCCATGTATTTATCTTTATGTTTTACATTGATGAACATGTGTTAATGTGCTTATCTTTTTCTCTTTGTTATCTTGTACTGTTCTCAGTTTCTTTTGCTATGGTTTGTTCTTTACATGGGAAGTCTTAGTGGTTTTTTGCTTATCAGTTGCAGAAAGATTCTGGATGCCCCTGTTATCCTGAGTCAGGGTATTTTACAGTTATCGTTCTTGGTCTGAGTACTAAGTATCTTTCGTTGTTCCAGATTTGGTGACAGAGAATTTCTTCAAAGTTTTTGAAACAAAGACAAAAGACAAGCAGGCTCGCTTAAAAGAGAGTGGTATGAATGGTTGCTTGAAATCGATATGTTGCTATTGGAGATTGAAGTTTTATTTGCTAATATTTATATAATCTCTTGACTGTTTTACAGGACGCGAGCTTGCTGTTTCATGGGCTCTATGTGCTGTATGCCTAGTTGGCCATTTAACTCACTTTCTTGGTGTGAACGCTCCATGGATCCATGCCATCCATTCAACGGGGTTCCATGTGTCTTTATGTTTGCTTACGTTGCTTGGTCCTGGGCGTAAGCTAGTACTTGATGGTTTCAAAAGCCTTTTAAAAGGTTCTCCGAACATGAACACGCTTGTTGGTCTTGGGGCTATGTCATCATTTAGTGTTAGCTCAGTGGCAGCTCTGGTTCCAAAATTGGTAAACATTAATAAAATATTTTGTTCAATTCTGTATTGCTCCCTGCGGTCTGGTGGCTGATATTATAAAACTGTTTTGAAATCCAGGGGTGGAAGACATTTTTTGAGGAACCAGTTATGTTAATAGCTTTTGTATTGCTGGGAAGGAATCTTGAACAGAGAGCTAAAATCAAAGCCACCAGTGATATGACTGGTCTTCTGAGTGTTTTGCCTTCAAAAGCTCGCCTTCTGCTTGATGGCGGCGACCTACAGAATTCAACTGTTGAGGTTCCTTGTAACAGTCTCTCTGTCGGTGATCTAGTCGTCATACTACCAGGAGTAAGAAGAGAGAATTTTCATTCTCATGCATAGTATGTTGTTGTTTCCTGTATTTTATTGCACGCCATATTTTCCTGCTAATGCAAAGTATCAGTCTGTTAGGAGGATGAACATCTTACTTTGATGTCTTTCGTGTATCCTTGTTGTTGACACATGGGAAATGGTTGCCTACTTCACGCAGGATCGAGTTCCAGCAGATGGTGTTGTCAAGTCAGGTAGAAGCACCATTGACGAGTCAAGTTTCACAGGTGAACCATTGCCAGTGACAAAAGAAGCAGGGGTAACTTTCTACTCAACCCCTATCTATATATAATGTAGCCTGAATATTATCATGTCGACTCTTTTGGTTGTCTCCTTTAGTACATATCATTAACTTTGGATAAATATTATGCTCATGGTGCTAAGTTATGTACATGTAACTCAAGTTTTGTTGTTAAAAATTCTTGTGGGACAGAGTCAAGTCGCAGCAGGATCTATAAATCTGAATGGAACTCTTACTGTGGAAGTGCATAGATCAGGGGGTGAAACTGCTGTTGGGGACATTGTTCGCATGGTTGAAGAGGCCCAAAGTAGAGAAGCACCCGTACAGCAGTTGGTTGACAAGGTCTCTCCATTCTTTCCTGTGACATTTGATTGTTGCAATAATGTTAACTAGGGACTAACCTTTGATTATTGTTGCAATAACAGGTCGCAGGGCGCTTCACGTATGGAGTGATGGCACTCTCTGCAGCTACATTTACATTCTGGAATCTATTTGGTGCACATATTCTTCCTTCTACCTTGCATAACGGGAGCCCAATGTCTTTGGCCCTCCAACTATCTTGCAGCGTTCTGGTAACATTTTGCTGTAACAGTTAGGATTAACCTTTTCCATCTTTTAGTTATCATCATGCTGTCTCACAGACATTGATTTGGATTTAGGTTGTGGCTTGTCCATGTGCCCTCGGGTTGGCTACGCCAACTGCAATGCTGGTAATTTTTTTTACTGAGTACAGCTTTTGCTGTTATGAATCAGACAAAGTAAGATGTTGACGAACTTGGTATATTCTTTAGGTTGGTACATCATTAGGAGCAAGAAGAGGATTACTTCTTCGTGGTGGTGATATTCTTGAAAAGTTTTCCACCGTTGATACTGTTGTCTTTGACAAAACTGGGACACTGACAAAGGGACACCCTGTTGTGACTCAAGTTATGATTCCCGGAGATCCAAGGTTAGGCTCTTTGCTATTTCAAAATATTCAATGATCTATGTACAATATTCTTCAAGAGGATATTGATTCTTACATACTTTCCATTATGTATCGTTAGCTATGTTAGGCTTTATATAAGAGACCTTACGGGTCTGAGTTTTTGTGATAAACATCTGATCCCTAATGTTCTTACGCAGACAAAATTTGAATGATACTTGGTCAGAAGATGAGGTTTTGATGTTCGCAGCTGCTGTTGAATCGAACACGACTCACCCTGTTGGGAAAGCGATTGTTAAAGCAGCTCGGGCTCATAACTGTCAAACTATGAAGGTAGGACTGCTTATGATAATTATTTCATTAGATTGATGGAAATTAATGAACTTTTGTCACTTCAGGCAGAGGATGGAACATTTACTGAGGAACCAGGGTCTGGTGCCGTTGCTATTGTCAACAACAAGAGGATTTCGGTTGGGACCTTAGAGTGGGTTCAGAGGTATAATCTGTTCATCCTCAGTCTTCTAGTTACAAGATTGTAGACTTTAAAAAGACAAAAAAAAAATTCTCCTTTTAATTCACTCTTGACCAATGCAGACATGGAGCCGATGGGAGCTCAATGCATGGATCTGAAGATCATGAATTTAACAACCAGTCTGTTGTGTATATTGGGGTGGATAATACACTTGCTGCAGTCATCCGTTTTGAAGATAAAATAAGGGAAGATGCTGCTCAAGTTGTTGAGAATTTGACTCGACAGGGAATTAATGTATACATGCTCTCTGGTGACAAGAAGAGTGCTGCAAACTATGTCGCCTCTGTTGTTGGAATTCCTCAAGAAAGGGTACGTTCTTTCCAAACATTTGAAATCATGGCAGTGGTTGAGCTGTTGCCATACTCATGCAGAACAAAAGAAATAATTAAATAGGAATTGATGATAATGAAGTGCCAAAACAGAGTTATATGACCTTTATTTGTTATTATACAGGTTATATCAGG